TTGTTCGACATGAACATGGCCGTCCCTGAGGCAGAGTGCGTGTCCGATACGCCGATTGAGCTGCGCATCTACAGCCCACACGTGCCGGATCTCACGATGATCGACCTGCCAGGCTACGTGCAGTTGAGCAGCCTGGATCAGCCAGAGGAGCTGCGCGAAAAGATCGAGAACCTATGTGAGAAATACATCAAAGGCCCCAACATCATCCTTGCGGTATGTGCCGCGGACGTAGACTTGGCAAACAGCCCGGCGCTTCGGGCGAGCCGCAAGGTGGACCCGCTCGGGCTCCGGACGATCGGCGTCGTCACCAAGATGGACCTCGTACCACCGGAGGAAGGAGCTGCGATCTTGCGCAACAATAAGTATCCACTAGCCCTCGGATACGTCGGTGTCGTTTGCAAGAACACCGCGAGCATCTTTGCGGGCCGTCACGACAAGGAGGGCGAGGGAAAGATCAGCAGTGCCGTCTTGCGACAGGAGATGGATTTCTTCGAAGCCAATCGTGAGCACTTCAAGGCTCCCGCGCGCGGACGGTATGCTGGCGTCGAGCCGCTACTGGGCACGGACCAGCTCCGTCGCCGCCTCATGGCCGTGCTAGAGGAGAACATGGGCTCCAATCTGCACACTATCGCGAATGCCGTCCAGCTCGAACTCGAGGAGGCCTCATACCAGTTCAAAGTGCAGTACAACGATCGGTCCATCACGGCTGAGAGCTACGTCGCAGAGACGATGGATGCGCTCAAACATCGCTTCAAGGAGTTTGCGGACTCGTTTGGCAAGCCTGAGGTCCGCTCACTTCTTAAGCAGGCACTTGATGACAAAGTTATGGACATCCTCGCTCAGCTCTACTGGAGCGATCCGCGCACACCCGAGCTGTCCAAGCTAGCAGACGACCGGAAGCTGACCCCAGAGGAGTTGGATCGGTTCTGGCAGTACAAACTGGATGCCTCGACTAGCGCGCTGACCAAGGCTGGTATCGGACGCATCAGCACGCAGCTGGTGGTTGATGCGATTCGAGCGCAGATCGAGCAGCTTGCGCAGACAGAGCCGTTCAACCACCACCCAGGCACCGCAGAGCGCATCCTTGGCTTTGGCGCTGCGATTCTGCGCGATCGCTTTGGCCTAACCGCCGACCAGGTCGAAAATTGCGTCAAGCCGTTCAAGTACGAGGTCGAGGTCGAACCGCGCGAATGGGAGAATGGACGAAGTAGCTCGGTCAAACTGCTCGAACGTGAGCTGAAGATGTGCGAGGAAGCGTCGAACCGAATTAATCGCGCGATCGGTAAGAAGCGGCTCCGTGGGGCCATGTCGTACCTGGAAGAGCTTGACGAGCGGGATCGGCGGCGGGCGGCGGCGCGGTTGCGCGCCATCAAAGAAGCAGGAGATGCAACGAGATCACCGCAGGAGAAGCAACAACAACAGCAGGACGAAGAGGATCCGCTCCGGCCAGACTACAACCCTGCTCTCCTGTCACGCGCACGCGAAGCAATGTTTCTACAGACGCGATCCGATGTGCTCAAGCTTCGGTTGAAAGCATTGCAGACGAAACGCTGCAAAATCGGCCCGGAGAGCAAGGTTTTCTGCCCAGAGGCGTTCCTCAACATCGTCGCGGATAAACTAACATATACGGCAGTCATGTTCATCAATATTGAGCTTCTCGCCGAATTTTTCTACCAGGTGCGTTCGCTGCGCTGCGTGACTTCCTTCCGATGACATTCATGTGCATTGAGATTGACCATCAGGCTGCTTCACTCTCTTTCTTGACACCATCCCCCACACTGTACGTTGCGCCTCTGCAGTTCCCGCGAGAGATTGACTCGCGGTTAGTGTACGATCTGGACAAGAAGGAGCTCTCGGCATTCGCAAAAGAGAACCCGGCTGTGCGCAAGCACCTGGATCTGCAGGATCGCAAGGAGAAGCTGGAGCTAGTGATGGGCAAGCTGGACACCCTTGTCAAGCTTTACCAAGAAAAGCAGGCGCCCAA